CAAAGACATGAATAATAAAACAGAGAAAAATAACATTCGAGCCAAGTAGAGAAGCCACGTGCTGTGAAATCGTGGTTACAAGGGACTTGGTAATGACCCGTTTCTCTTACTGAGGAGGGATTCCTCAGATGTGATTCCCAAGAGCAGAGGATGAAACAAGCTACGGTGGAGTTTCTAGGACAACTAGATAAAGGGAATCACTTGGCTTTCCACTCAATTCTGGGTATTACAAACGTGGATTTCTGCTGATACAGGCTATAACCTGCATCAGCTTAAGCTGAAGATCAAAGCACTCCTACCGCTCTGCGTCCTCCGCCGTGGTTGCTCTAGTGTTACAAAGGGACCTACTGCACGATTGGGTCTGGCACTGGAGCTCCTGGTGTCTGCAAATCATCGATTTGAAGGGGGCAAGTCCATCGAAAGCCCAGGGGTTAATTCAACACCAGGTGTTTTTCAAATGACCCTTCTCACAAAGCTGAAGGCCAAGGCCATTTTTTAAACCTCTCCAAATCAATTGCCTACCTCGGGTACGTCAGCACAGAAGTAATGGCCGAGATAAGTCCCATCCCCTGTCCCCATCGATTGTACACAAAGCATCTACACGCACCGTAGAAATGATCTCTTGCTGCTCAATATTTTTTTAGTGCTTCACCAGCTTCGAATTGCAAGCGCTTTGATAAACGAACTGAGAAGTTCCCTGGCTCCTCCACTGCATGCGTAAGTAGCTCGATACGAACTACCAAAATTACAGAGTGAATTTTCACAGCAATGCTCACAGAATCCCTGCTAAACCGTCTATGCCTTTTCCTGCACCGCAGCTCAGAACCTGCTCATTTATTCTTGCAGATTTACCAGGTCTTCCAGCACCAAGGCATGGGAATGTTTTTGGAGACGGTCTCAAAAGGCAGAGTTTGAATTTGGGTATAAAAGCTAGGACATGGCCCAACACCCTCTCCAGATGAATCTTAAGAGTGTCCAATGTTGGGGAATCCACCACTTGCCTGGGAGATTATTCTAATGGCTGATTGTTCTCATTGTGAAAAATTCTTCTCTTGTGTCCAATCGGAATGTCCCCAGAAGCAACTTGTGCTAGTTACCCCTTTTCTTTTCCAAGTAACTCCTTGTAAAAAGGGGGTCTCCATCTTTGTAGCCACCTTTGGAGGCAGGATCTAGGACTAAAAGAGCCAGAGGTCTTCCTTGCTGAAGTCAGTTGTAGTAGTATTCTCCATCCTCTCTCTAAATTCTGATAATCCTGTTTGCACAGAGGAGACAGTTCCCATTTTGCAGCTGCGATGTCATATTGGTGCAACTGTCTTCTACACCTTCACTGTGTTCTTTGTTACGATAACTCCCCGTGGTTTCCCTGGGCTCCTTGCATTACCCAACCGCCCTCAGCAGCAGGGATATTGCATTTCTCGTGCTTTCTGAGAGTGTATGAGGTCCATCACAGATGCAACGTGCAACCAAGCATTTCCAGTATCAGAGGACAACGAGCGACCTGCACAGTGGCGCTTACTGAAACAAAGGCCTGAGGAGTCCAGCCTTATAAAGAGAGACAAGGAAAATTTCTTAAATTCAGGCAACAATTATAGTTCTTACCTAAAGGAGTGGTACAGGTGGTTTAGTTGGGAAGCACGGGCACGTTCATCACCACCCTGCTGCACAGGGCAAGAGACAACCACCACCTCCAGCACTGCAGCAATAATGCAGCTACTGCACCATGGGTGGACATCAAAACTTTCTCTGACTGCTTATGTGGCATTTGAGACCCTGAAGCAGAAGGGCAATATTGGAAACGACGTCCCCAGCGCATTAGGAAGTACAATGCAGGAGACAGACTGTGAGGAGAGACCGTGGGAGGACTCGCCCAGCGTTCAATTAGCAGCTCTGGAATCAAGACTCCCACCTTCAGCTCCGCTGCTGATGCAAACCGGTACTCGTCGAAAGCTCAGCTTTCTGTTCTTTCAAGTGTTCAGGCTGTATTAAATTTAACATCACTACGTTAAGAGTTATTATTAGCAAGTGACAGCTAGTTTGATATACTCAAAGTCAGCAAAGCATTAATCTTTCTGCACACCAAAGCCCTGTATTATTTCACTGGTGTGACAGCCAGCTAATGAATGGTCCAGACCTGCACAGGCTCAGAGAAACTAAGGGGTGAGAGGTTTGATTGCCAGCTGGAATCTGGTCTAAAATCAAAGCTTATCGTGTCAGTTTGCTGCTGGTTGAAGCTGGGGGGGTCGTGGTCCTGCCCACGCTCCCCTCTCTGGCTGTTCAACAAGTAGTTGGGTTTGGGTTCCCATCTCACATTCCCACTCCTCTGAGATCTCCCCAAGATTGGGCTGCCTTCTCCCCGAACCGCACCTCTCCCGTACGGTTCCTCAGTGACTCTTTACACTTCTGCTGCATTTCCGAACAAGGATCACAGCAAAACCTTAACAGTGTTCAGTAAATCAGTGTATACAATTTATCCCCTCTCTATCGTCACCAACTCCTGGGAACTTTTTGGGTCCAACCGGTGCTCTAAGCAACCAGAATCATTTCTCCTCCACACCTGCATAGCCTCACCTTCACGCTTTGGCAGCCTCTTCAAACTGATAGTGAGGGGGGGAAAAAAAATAAATGATTTCCTAATCTAGCCTTCTGGCCTACTCTAGACAGATGTCCCTGGTAGGCGAGGAAAGATCTCAAACTTACCCACTGCTTGCTTAATCCACAGCAGGTTTAGGGAAATACATTTGGGCTGGAAGCTTTCTGTCCAAAGATAGTCAATTTGATCATCAAAGTTGAATAACTTTATATTCTGTGCGGGAATCTTGCCTTTCAGTTGAGTGGCTATATAGTGTCCAAGGGCCACGACAACCACACCGGCAGGTTCACAGTAACACCGGTTGCTCACAAAGCAATACTTGGAGACTCCAGGATACAGACGACAGTAATAACTAACCTGCCAAAATCCCACGGTAAATGAGAAAATGGTGCTTGTAGAAGTCAAATCAACAACAGATACCTGTTTCCTAATTCTTCGTCAGCACCAAGGCAAAGCCGCGCTTGGGAAAAGTTACCTCTCGTTGTACCTTGAGGTACATCCAGTGGAGGACGCTGGTTTTGCCTTTCTCTGGTAGTAGACCGGAGTCTGAGAAGAGTCAATCTGCTGTCGGTTTGCTCAGCCCCGGGAGAAATACCACAGCTGCCCAGGTCCAACACCAACATCACCAGTCCAAATGCTTTCACCAGCTGTTTGTATGGATGTTAACAAAATAAAAGTCCTAAAAAACCCAAACCCCACTACAGGTAACACCAAAAATCAGAGTTATCCTCAGCTCTGGCAGATATACGAAGCAACTGCTTCAGAGGTAAATGTACATTTTCTCCAAGCAAGTGTTTGTGCTTCACAATAATTGAGTACGAGGTGTCCAGACAACCTCACAGTGTCATACCACATGTCGGAGGAGTAAATTCGAACCTCTCTACATGCTTTCTTAAGACAAAAACTAGCTGAATAGCAAGCAGTGCCTTCGGTGCTGCCTTCAACCAGGAACGCTTGTTGCTCAGGCTAGAAAGTTACAGGCACAGCATTTGAGCGATATAATTCTGTTTAATGAACTTTTTCCATGAGTCTTGAGTAGAACATTTTATTTAAGAAGGCTCCATTTGTGGCTAAAATTAGCTATTCCTTATTGGTACTGCAGACCACCAGTGATCTTTGCTCACAGCTTCGAGATGGCAGCTACAGCAGCCTCTCACTCTTGAAAATGTGTTAGAAATCACAAACTGGCACAAAAAAATTTGTTGGAACAATCCCCACAGTGGAAATAGGCCTTCTGAAGGGAAAACCCTTGCAGTACTTTTTTTTTTTTTTGTTCCCTCTGGAAAAAAAAACATTTGCCCAAAGAAAAATGCTGAGCAGGAAAATAACTCCGGTAAGAGTTTAAAAAATAAAAGATATTGCTTATAATGGAAGAATTTCAAAACACCTGTCTGTTTATTCTATCGCTGACTTGGCTCCTGAGGATTTTCAGATTTTTCCTAGCTAACACCTTCTCCAATAAAGTCAGAGGAAATAAGCATCTGGTACACAAAGCCACATGAGGGAAATGCCCAACTGTTCTGCTCAGTATCATGTGAATACGGGGAACCCCGGTGCCGGCAGAGCCCCCAGTGCTCCTCGTGCACCGCGGGGGCTCAGGAGAGCTGGAGATCATTAACACCAAACCCCGCAGAGTGCCGCAGAAGCAGTGGCTTTCCCGGCCTCGGTGGCCTTCAGCTCCTTCTGCAGAGCTCGGCGGGCATCCTTTCCCTAATAAAACTGGAAAAGGCAATAAGGTATTTTCTTTTTTGCTGGACAATGCCTAGGGAAAAGACAAGGATGTCTTGTTTAAAGGTCAGAAAGGGGGAAAAATGACCTTCCTCGATTTCCAGTGGTACACAATCTACTGCAGGATTTAATCCTAACCCACCTGCGTCTGGTCGTAGGTGCCAAGAGGTGCTGATGGGGTTGAGATTACAGTCCTCTTCCATGAAGGCGTTCAGCTGCTTCAACATCCATCGTCATGTGCAGGACTCGCCCCGGGAAGTTGGACCTGCAAGTCTCTCAAAATAAGGAGAATGTTGAGCTCTTCATGCTCCCTTTACCGAGGCTGAAGCAGCAGGAGCTCTCAGAGCGAGCTCTCCTGAGCGCAGGGTTTGCTCCCTTCGGCAGCGTAAGGGGAGCAGCAGCGTTACCCCCACCGGCCCCACAAACTGTTGATCTGTCTCAAGGGTGCTTTGCTCTCCAAGGGGATTGGCAAGTGCTCCTGGCCATTCCAGAAAGGCAGCCTGCATTCAGAAGGATTCAGAGGCTTTGGATGTCATTAAGGTAAAATTACCATCAGATTTATGGGAAAGTGTAGAAGCGTAGATTTAAAAAAAAAAAAAAAAAGCTCATCTGAAACCAATTGTACAAGAAGGAAAACAGTGAACGAGCTTGCAAATTCAGCAAGACAACTCTAAGCCCCCCGCTATGACATGCCTGGAGTATGGAGGTCAGCAGCCACTCCCGGTGCCAAGTGGCAGGGACCTGTGGGAATTGGAACATAAGAGGTTAAAAACGCTGGTGTCTGCTTGTCTTGTGGGTGGAGATCCTCAAGGTCTTCCTGAGAGCAGCAGCAGGAGAAAGTCTTGTGGCGGTGGGATGGTCCTGTTGTGGGTACAGATTGCAGGAATGAGCAGATAAATGGTTTCTGTACAGAATCTTGAAGGCCACGGTGCCCAGAGTGAGACCTTCCGCTTGATTATCCATGAAATGTACATTAAAGTTGACACTCCTGAATATGATAAGGAGCTTAAAGAAGGATATACTAAGCATATATGACCACAGCACTCAACTCTCCACCTAAATCACGTTAAAACATCACCCGGGGGGCGGGCAGATTAGGTTATGAAGGACATTGATGAAAGCATCCCTCAGGGAGAGAAGAGACTAGAGACCTAGAAGAGAGAGCTGATGGGCTGTGCTCCTCTTCCCCCACCAAGACAGGGACGCCTTCTTGGTAAGCATTGCGCCTTCACCTTCTGCTGAAGAACACCCGGGACAGCATTTATGCAATTTTTTCACTGGCACTAGTATAATATATTAGCGCTATTGTAGCTAGTGCGTTTATCAACGGCAATTCCAAATCCATTATATCTGTCACTTCAGTACGTTGGTTATCTTTTCAACTTTGTGAAACTGTCTCAGCGAAAGTCCCTTGGAGAGGCTCTCATGTACTCACAACGCAAGAGGACCATCCTCGGGTTCTTCCAGACGTAGGCAGGAAGCAAAGCACCGCCCTGGACTGACAGCCTGGTTTCCTCATCAGTCAAAATAACATCAAGATTTTTCATCTGTTGTAGCTCCTCTGTTCCCCGTGAGCAGCGATCAGTTCCCCCTCCCCCCCGCCTTCTTCCCCAGTTTTGTTTGAAGCTGGTAAGTAGGAGAGACAGCCCTCTGCGCTTCCACCAGCGGGAATGACACAAACCCTTCCCAGCGAGGAACCCGCAGGGATTTTTGTTCACAGCGAGGGAATCTCTCCTTTTTTCTGCCATTAGCAACTGCCGCTGAGACGCTGCTACGCCACGGAAGGTTATTTACAGGTAAGCAGGGGCGAAGAGTGAGAAAACACAGGAATCGACGATTTGAAGACAAATTCTTCCATGCTGTTAGCCGAGGTGTGAAACGTGCAGCAGGTGAGAGCTCAGCAGGAGTCCTTCGAAGGCGGCGAAGGCAAATCTGAGCAATGCGATGTCAGGGTCACTGTTCTGAGCACAGGCTGGGACAGAACGTCCAAGTATTTACCAATTTACTAATGAAACTCTAAGTAAGCTTCTGGGTGCTTCCTAAATCTACAAGCTATAGAAGTGAGCAGTATAAAGGTGTACGCACGTGCAGATGCACACAAGTGCATACGGTAGAGAAATGTGGATCAAACCACCATCATTTTATACCCCACGAGAAAGGCGGGGGAAGATTCTTCCCTGAGGAACCCAGTGAGATCAACACCTTTGGAGCTGATGTGCAGACTGCTCGTCAGCAGCCACGGAGGAACCAAGCGAAGCCAGTCAGTTATCAAAAGGCATCAAATAACCCTGGGAGGTGTCCGTGGCACTGAAAAAAGCGAAAATACGGACTGACAGATCAAAGAGCCAGACCAGGCCCACGGGCGCACCCTTTCCCATCCCACGACCCACAGACACAGAGAGGAAAGCGCTGTCTGGCCCAGCAGACGGATTCATTTGCAGAGGTTCACCTGCAAACAAAAATTCCGCCACCGTGCAGAGGATTAAATTCCATGACCGTGCTCCTGCTACGCCGAGGCGACTTCTCTCCCACAGCCGTAACAAGCAAGGGGCGGCAGATATGACAGAAGATGCTGCCGTCGATTTGATCTGAAGTGATACCGATTTCTTTAAAAGCCATCTCTTGCTATAATCAAAGGTATTAAGTCTAAACAAAAGGAGCTAAACAGCAGAATGTGAAGTGTGCTGATCTGATGCTGGTTACCTTAAGCGTGATCTGAAGCATCTTTCCACTTAATAGAAAACCTCATCAGTCCTAACTTGTTTATCATCTTTCGCTGCTACACGAAGCACTAACAGCTTCCCTTTAAACTGTAACTCGGGACAGGTCAGAGCCAGCGAGACATCCCCGAGTAGTCAGAAGATGCTAGACAAGAACTCAAAACCTGCCTAGATATGCCAAAGTTAACGATGCTCACACTGCCTCCTGCCAGCACACGCCATTCCATAAGCAAATGGAGGATTTGGAGACTCCCGTAGTGTCAATCCTGGCTAATTTCAGAAATATTTGGAGATGCTTTCTGTTGTAAACATATGTGATAGTTTTAACTTACTGAGACTTTCCATATGGTACATTCCTATTCTTCTCGCTATAAACAATCATGGGGGGTGTCAAAGTAAATTTGGAAATAAAGGAAACAGCAATTCTAGGTTTCTCACACCAATAAACCAGAAGAAAGTTATTTCATTGTACCAGAGAAACTACAGGATTGTGAACTACAATCACAAGACACCAGTTTGTAGTAACTTTTCTTCAATGCCACCTACCTGTTAGTGGGTGGACATTGTTACCGGTCTTGCTGCTCCTGAGAATCACCAAAAGAAATTCTTCGTGAGTCAGACGTGGGAACCTGGCACATCACGGGTACGAAGCTCTGGCTTTCTTTATGATTAAAGCTGCTCCCTACGCCTTCAGACGGATCCCAGCCCAACACCATTATTTCTAGCAGGACCGTAATGAAAACTGCCAGGTCTGTTCACGTGTATTTTTACCAGAATATTATCCGAATTTTAAAAACTTTAAATAAAATAACACCCTTTGTTCTTATGAATAAGCAGTTACAGAAAATGAAAGTATCTGCAGATAGGCACTGGCTAGAGCATGATTACATACTCGTTCCACCTCCAATCTCTGTTTTGTAGGTAAAACCAAGCAGAACATCGGACATTTTTTGTTACTGAAAGACTTCAGCACTCAAGGTTGTATCACCATAACCATAAGAACGTGTGGCAGGTATGTAATACGCGTGGTATAGCACTACCCTCTCCCCCTTCCGTCAAATCCCCCTCTTAGTCCTACAAAGTGACCAGCTTTAACCAATCATCGACTTTGAGCCGCACTTCTGCGTTCTGGCGAGTTATTTCCCTGGCGTGGCACCTGACAAATATTAAAATATAAGCTACAGGATTAAATAAGATTTTATTGTCACATTTAACTGCTTTGTCAGAGATGTACATTTTGCAGGTTTCTGTGCGGAATAAAAATAAAAACGGTAGTTGCCATCTTGTCAATTCTGATTTCGACATACACACATCTACACCACCTGAACCACAGGCGCTTGCAGACAGCCAGCGATAGACCACCAGGGCAAGTTCTCTGTCAAACAGACTGCAACGCTCGAAGACAAAAACGCTTTAAGTTAAGGCTAATGAGAATAATGTAAAACAGTTAAAACAGACCACTAGATGTTTAAAGGTGGAAATACTCGATAGAAGAGTGGCAATTTTAACACCTCATTTTTTCCAAAGTCATCTTGCTTAATTTAGTACAGGTAAGGAAAGGCTAATGAACAGACTTTTGCCTACATATACAATACATACTGAAATTTTAGTCTCTTGTAAATCCGGTGTATTTAAACTTTTAAGCAACTGCTTTGTTCTTCTGGGTGTAAACCAAAGAAGCGGTTATTCACACCTCAAAGTGATAAATGCTTAAGATAACCTCATCTTAAAATGTAGATTTTCTCATTTACAGATCAGGGATTAAGTCCAATAATACAAACTTCTGAGTGGCACAATTTCACATATTTTGGGCAACGTTAGCGTACAAGCAGGATTTAAATAAAAATAAGTGCATCCAAACATGAAATTCTCTAAATATACCACACTTCATTTGTCCCAAATGGCAATTTTCTGACAAGAGCTGTAATTCAAATTAAAATAATCATTTAAACATTTCACCACTCTCCAAACAATCTTCTCCTACCCTATCCCCTATTTATTACATAAAATAACTCATCTAGAAGCGTAAATCCAATATTCAGATGCAAATAAAATGCAAGAAGCAGTCTCTGATGTTTGTCATTTGCAGACTCCAAAGTCCAATCATGATGGAATTTACTACTTCTGTCAGTCATTTACTCCTGTATGTGCACTTCATACTTATGCTAAAATAACAAATGAGACAATAAATGAGGCTAGTGTGGCATAAAGTCATTGTAAACCCAGCGAAACCAGAATAATTATATTTATGACATTCATTTGGATGATTTACCAGTCATCCCACCCACCCACCCTTTACAGAAAAAAAGGCAACCGTCATTTTAAGTGATACACACATTCTGCTAGTAAAAAAATTGAAACAAACCCCTTCTCTGTTAAAAGAACATGCCGATAGAAGAAGGTAGACCATATCTGTTCCAATCAGGCTTCTCAGAATTATCAAAATTTCTCTGCTTGCAAAGGCCAATTTGGCTTACCATAGAAAGCTATTTTGAAGGCGGCTGATATATCTATTCCCTTTCAAAAATTAAAATTCAAGGCATGATAGTGCAAGAGGTAAGTTTTGATTTGAGAACATTATTTGTAGACTAACTGTGCTTAGTTACTACATCCCAATTTATTGTCTTAACGAAAATACGGCAACAAAAGCTATAAGATCTCTATAAATTTCATTTTGCCTAAATTTACCAGTACATCCATGAACCTCATCAGTATTAGTACAACTTGATTATCCTAATGATTCCATTATAAAACTTGCAAAATGTATCACAACGTGAATAAACCATCTAGTGCAAGTCTTCTACATTTTGTGTGCACAGTAATCCTGTGTAGTTCATTTCCTCCAGGTTAAATCCCCAAAATCTCTCTGTAACAATTATGAAAAAACAGTGTCGTGGATTTTTTTTTCCCCCCTATCAAATCTGAGAAGTTTGAGTGTTCCTGGAATCACCATCAGGATGCGCTGAAGGTCGCGAATCCCTTGTCTGTGAGTATTCACTGTCAGAGGACTCTGTAGGTTCAAGCAAATTTTCGTAATCACTGTCTTCTGATTCGTCAACAT